AAACACACACACAGACAGACACATACACACACACGCACACACACATACACCCACACACAAACACACACACACACACTCACACCCTCTCACACACAGAAAATAACGACACGGAGAGAAAAAAGAAGCGAACAGGACATGGTGTCTTTTGCAAGAAATGCTCAGTGTTTATTATTGTCATATAATTACGTTTTATTATTGTCATATAATTACGTTTTATTATTGTCATATAATTACGTTTTATTATTGTCGTATAATTACGTTTTATTATTGTCATATAATAATTTTAAGTTTTATTATTGTCATATTATCATGATTTTCTATTGTCATATTATTAAGTTTTATTATTAATATGTTTTATTGTCATGATATTATTAAGTTCTATTATTGTCATATTATCATGTTTTACTATTGTCATATCATTAATCTAATGTTTACGCAACTATTACAATTCATTCTGTTCGTCTTGAGGACAAAAAAATCTGCGTCTTCCTTTCGCTACCTCTGGGGTACCTAGGCACTTATATGACCAAAATTGAGCCGATAGTGCCGTAAAAGACTTACTCAATCAATCAGAGTTACAAAGTTTTATCTGCTCAGTAGATCTACCTAGTTTTGACAAATTCGACGTCAAATTTTCTTTGAGTTTCACAATATCGCTTCCTCAGTAACAAAGTTTTATCTGTTCAAATTAACTAGTTTTAACAAATTCGACGTCAACATTTTTGAATTTTACAATATATTATCAAGTTTTTTACGAATGCAATCCTTTGAATATCTTGGCAACGACCTCGAATGTACTTACGATTTTGATAGAGGAGATAGAACATTTTTTTCTGACCTCATTATGGTCTTACTAATCCAAAATGTAATTCTGAGATGACAACATGTCAAGCTTCTTCGAATGCAATCCTTCGAATATCTTGATAACGACTCCGAATAATCTTACAATTTTGACAGAGCTGATACAACATTTATTTTTGTTTTACTTTTTATTTTGGTCTTACTTGATCTTCTTGTAATTCAAAACAGCCAAAATGTCGGATAGAACTTTGGAATTCTGAGATGACGACATGCCAAGCTTCTTCGAATGCAGTACTTCGAATATCTCAATAACGACTCCGAATAATCTTGCGATTTTGATAGAGCAAATAGAACATTAATTTATTGGTTTTTGATCTCTTGGTCTTAATAACTC